GACATAAACTATTTTTCCAGTAAGATACTGTTATTGTCAATAAATGAAATAATTAAAGAATACTAAGAATCTTCCTGAAATTAGAGAAATATTACACAAAGTATTATGAATCTTTTGACACCTTCTCAAGCATTTTAACTTTTATATTTAAGGGTTTTTTTGAGACAAGTTCTTGCTATATGGTCCAGGTGGTCATTTGTTTGAAGATGTGATAGACTCTCATAGAACTTGGCCAGAATTTTTTTTTTTTCAAATTTTCAGTTTTCATGTGGCAAAGGGAAAAGGGACTAAAAATATGTCTTGAAGTAGAGTCTGGGCATAGAGGAGAGAATGTGGATTTCCCTTGACTCAGATGAAGAAAGTGGTAATTTTCTTCCCTTTACCATGAAAGCATATGTAATTTTTTGAAGCTGCTTTTCTGCAAAACATATGTATTTGAGGAACATTCATTTTATGTTCAAAACCTAGAATTTACGTTTGTGGTAAGTACTTCAAGGGCTTTGGGGGTTTACTGCCAAAGCTGTGCTTGATCAGACTGATGTTGGGAAAACAACAGAAAGAAAGAACTCTGCTAAAATGGCTGATTCCACATCCACAGTGAGGCAGGCTACTTCCCTGCCTATAATTTCTTTATATTGTAACAATTAAGTTCTTTCCAAAAAGAATTCCTTTACACTATTAGAAAATTAATACAAATTTAGATTAATATGGTAAAGTAAGCTGATGAGATGATTCCTTACTTTTCCAAAACTATAAAAATGCTTCAATAACTTTAAAAGTTGAAGGAATATATTTTTCCCAAGCTTGTAAGCAAGACAAGGAAATTCGCTGGTTCTAGAGAAGGGAGAACAAAGGAAGAGTATTAATGGGAGCTGAAACCAAGTAGATGGCAGAGCCCAGTGGCTCCTGTGTTTAGGACCTGGATTCCTGCTGTGAGACTTAAAAGACTGAAGTGAAACAGACCATTGATATGTGTGACTTCATAGATGAACCTTGAAATAAAAAGCATAATTACACTGAATGCAGAAGGCAACACAAGAAGCACATCATGTAAGTCTCCATTTATAGAAAACTTTAAATGCAATCTAATCTATAGTGACAGCAGATCAGTGGAAGTTTGAAGATGCAGGAGATGAGGCAGAGTAGATAAAGGGACATAGGAGACTTTTTGGATGTTGGCCATGTTATTTATCAATTGTGGGTGATGTTTTCACAGGTATATATCAAACTTTGCAAAATTTTACACTTCAAATACATTCAGTGAATTGTATGTAACTTCAATAAGATGTTAAAAATAATGAACATACAGCACCAGTGGTTCATGACTGTAATCCTAGCTACTCAGGAAGCTGAGTTCTGAGATCATGGTTCAAAGCCAGCCAAGGCAGGAGAGCCCATGAGACTCTTATCTCCAACTAAACATCAGAAAGCTGAAAGTGGAGATGTGGCTCAAATGGTGGATCATCAGCCTTGTTCAGAAAAGCTAACAGACAGTGCCCAAGCCCTGAGTTCAAGCCTTAGTACTTGTTCCTCACTCCGAAAAAAAAGTAACATACAGAATCAACATCAGTATGTTTGCAACTCATATGCTGAATTTGGGGGACCAAGGAACTTGGTAGTTTTTCTGTATAGTGTCCTAAAGTCCGGATTTTATTGATTGCCATAAAAGAACCATTGCCTTTTAGAACTATATACTATATAAAAAGTGAAACTAAATTCTCTCTCTCTCTCTCTCTCTCTCTTTTGGAAGCAGAGCTTTGGCTAGACAGGTGCTCGACTACTTAGACACACTCCCAGGCCTTTTCTGCTTTAGTTATTTTTCAGGTAGGAGTCTACATTTTTAAAATTCTTATTTTTTTTAAATTTTAAAGGTAATGTACAGAGGGGCTGCAGTTATATAAATCAGGTAATGAGTACATTTCTTTTTGAACAGTTTCATCTTTTCCCCCATTTTCTCTTTTTTTCCCTTCCCAACTCCACCCCACTCCCTTAAGTTTTATAGTTCAACATAGTGTCTAGTGAGTATCACTGCTGAATTAGTCCACCCTTTTCCCACCATTTCTGTGTTTCCCCTTATGCCCCCCAAATCAGACAAACTTACATACAAAAGGTACAGAAATCAAAAATAGCAACAAAAGGGGAAAAACAGAAAAAAGGTTAAAAATCACAAAAAGTAAAATAAAAAAAGTCGTTTTCATTTCTCCGAGTTCTTTTGGATAAACATCACTTTATATCATCACATACACATAGCTATTGATCCTTTGTGATTGCAATTTAAAAATTCTATCGTCTTTTTCTCTTGGGATTGGCCTCAGACTGTGATATTCTTATTCACAGCTTCCATAGTAGTAAGGGTTATAATGTGCACCCTACTACTTGTCTTATTGATTAAGCTGGGTCTTGCTAACTTTTTCTCTGGGCTGGCCTCAAACTGCAATCCTCCTTTAGAGTAGATAGATTATAGGCATGAGTCACTGTGCCTGGCCTTAATAGGCTTCTTCAAATAGCTAAGAAAATTTACAGTGGGAAAAAAAACCACAAAAATGTGCCGGAAGCTGGTGGCTCATGCCTGTAATCCAGTAGCTACTCAGGAGGCTGAGATCTGAGGATCACACTTTAAAGTCAGCCCTGCAAAAAACTCCGTAAGACTTATCTCCAATAAACCAGAAGTGGCACTATGGCTCAAGCGGTAGAGCACTAGCCTTGAGCTGAAGAGCTGAGGGACAGCACCCAAGCCCAGAGTTCAAGCCCCATGACCCACCCTCCCCCCAAAAAAAAATTTACAGAGGAGAGCTTATGTTGAAATTGAGCTCTTCATGTATCCTTTAAGGATGACTTCCTTCATGGGACAAAGTGACTGCTCCCTGAATTACACCAGCTGCAGTGACAGTGCTTTTTATTTCCCAACAAACATAAGTTCCAGTCTTCCATATAGCTAGACTGATTTAGACCTGCATTAGTGCCTACCCACAAACACTGAGAGTTGGGTGAGAATATTAGGCTGATTATCATACATCAATGGGACCCACATTTGGAGCTGTAAATTGATCTTTTGAATTCTTGGGGTTAGAAATGCAGGGGTTAGAAATGTCTGCTCAGGAATCAATCAGTATCATCTATTATAAAAGCAATATGATATTCCACACCATCAAATACTATAATCTATACTCTTTCATTATTTAGTATTTAACTTGTTTACAGTTTTTGGTATTAAAGCTTGTAAGATCCAGACCTAAGTCAGGGAAATGGAACAGTGTAGGGAATGATAGGGAATGTAGAGACAGAGAGCGCTGAGAATTCCAAAATACATATGAAATCTTCTAATTTTTAGCTTTGACTTTTAAAAAAAGTATAAGGCATGACAAACAAAATGTGTTTCCATATTAGATCTGGACTTAGGCCTCCCAGTTTCTTCTACTTCTTTTATGGTGGTGCTGAGATTTGAACTCAGGGAATCCTGGGCTGAATTAGTACTCTATTATAAAAATTCATTTTGTCTTTCTTCCTTTTCTGTCAAAGTTTCATACGGAATGCCAATAAATTACTACAATATTGTTCTCTTTGTGTAAAACTTTCTCTTCATTTAGATATCAGAAGACAGAAAGTATGGTTTTTCCATGTGTTGACATCCTCATGGTTCCCAGTGTAACTTTACTGATGTTTTACTTAGTAGAGTCTCAATACCTTCTTATTTCCTATTTATAAATAGACCTGGTACATGTCAGGAAGTCATCATTCTAATCATTATACCATCAGAACTTCCAGTACTGAGTCAGGCCCAGGGGTAGAAAGCCTCTGGGGATACAGAGTTTAAATAAAGCACCCAGAAAGGTAGATGTGCATCTCTTGACATTACCATTAGGAAAAAGGAACCTTTGGACAAATGTCCTCTCAGAGTTAACTTTTAGACACAGATGGAGAAAACAAAGCAGGGAAATTAAAGGGAGACGGAAGAAAGAATTTTAAATGAAAGAAGTCATCTCAGAGCACAAGTCACTGGACACAATGAACCTGTGCTGTACTGTAGTCATGCATTTATTGAATACTTCCTGAATCAGACCTGTTCCATTACAGAGGACAAAAAACAACGAACGAAGCAGGTCTTCAATAAAAAGTTGCACAGATTAACACCGATCAGGTCAAATACATAAGGTGTTGGAAACCTACAGAATGGAGTGCTAAGGAGTATCAGATAATGTACAGCCAGAGGATCTAGGAAGAAAGATATTCACAGTTCAAGAATCATCAGCAACTACTGGTAGCAAAAAGAGCTCCCTAGATGGTACCAAAGGAGAAAGAGATGCACACGAGGGCACCTTGTCTCCATCTAACTGCACACCATCGCTCAGCTTTCTCTCCTTTCCCCATGGGTTATGCATTTCCCTCGCGTTCAGTCTCTTCAGAGTGCTCACTAAGCGCCACAGCTTGAAAGAAGGGCAGAAAGGGATAAAGGGGAAAAGTTCCCGTTCTTGGAGGTGACTCCCCGGATCACGACCCGGCCCTGAGATCGGAAAACATGCAAACCAGGTTTTCTGAGCCAGGAAACCACCTTCCCAAACGGAGCTCTCAGAAACTCAGCGACTGCTCCGCGGGACTTCAGTCCACTTGGCTGGAGCTGGCTCGCAGGCGCGGGCTCCCTGGGAGCTGCTTCCCAGGAGCTGGAGCTCTCCCGCACCTCCGCGCGCGCGTCCGGGTTCATTCAACTCAGGCTCCGGCAGGTTCGGTTCCAGCACTCTGGATGCTCTCGGGCCAATCCTGCCAGGCGGGGCGGTGCACGCGCGCACGCGCGCACGCGCCACCGCCGCCGCGGCGGGCGGGGGAAAGGCGCTTTTGCCCTCGTGAACGCGCACGCCGCGCCAGGAGGCCCAGACGCGCGCGCTCCCGATTCCCCTCCGCCGCCTCCTCCTCCTCCTCCTCCTTAGCCCGCCCCCACCCTCGCCTCTTCCTGCCGGGCGGTCTCTCCCTCCCCTCCCCTCCGCGTTCCCTCCGCCCCGCTCCCTCCGCCCTCCCGGGGCTCTGAGGCGGCGGAGTGAACGGGACGGGCCCGGCCGCCGAGCGCCGAGCGGCGGGTAGGACGCCTGGCGCCTGACAGAGTTGTTGTTCCGGCAGCGTCCGCGGAGACGTGAGGTGAGGCGGGGGCGGCCCTCCTGAGGGGCCCGGGGCGGCCCGGCGGCCGGGAGCGGCGGTCCGTGTGCGTCGGCCGCGGGGTACTGGCGTCCAGGCTGCTCCTGGAGCGCGGTTGAGGCGGGGGCCCGACCCGGGACCGGGATGCGGAGGACCGTGGGAGGAGGATACCGGGCGCCTTCGGAGCTGTCGGCCGCCGCCCGGACGCCGTGGCGGTCTCCGGTGGCGGCTGTTCGCGGCCCGGGCGGGCGCGGCGCCCCTCACCTGGGGGCGGGGTGGCGGCTCGGGCGGCCCGCGCCTCGGGCTGTGCCCTCCTGACACCGCCGCCGCCCGCGGCCGTGCGGCGGCTGCGGAGTTCGCCTTCCCCGCGGGCCCGCGTCCGGAGGCGGGGCGCGGGGGGGGGCGTGAGGCTGCCGTGTTTTCTTACCCTCGTGCGGCTTCGGTGACCCGGTGTGTCCCCTACGCCGGGCACTTCTGCTCCGCTGCTGTGGAGGCTTGCGGTTTCGCAGTCTGGGACGGGCCGTGTCTGGGGCAGATCTCTACCTGCCAAGAACGCCCCGCTTTAAAGTTGACTGCCTGGGCGGTGGCCTTCCCGCCCCCTCCCCTCCCCCTCCCTCCCCGCCCGGCCCCAGGTTGGGAGTGTGGGGCGTCCCGATAACTGAGTCAAAGTTTCTGCGACCGGGCTAGTACTTTGCACTGGTCGCCAGCTGTGCAGTGCGTCAGCTCGTGGAAAGGGGCCACCGGCCCGCGCGAGGTGGCCGGGAGTAACTGACGGGGCCCCTGTCCCATCCCGGGCCAGTGCGGGCGCATGGGTATTTCCCCCAGAACTTCTCAGATCTATCTGTCGTAGAAAACGAACTGACATTTAAGTGGGCACTTGGCAGGACTGATGGTTTCGTGTAAACTGAAATGCTAACCCCATGACATTAATAGTTAAGGAGCCCGTTTGCTTGCTTGACAGATTTCAGGGATGTTCGGGAACTGATTTAAAGGTTCACATCTTTTTTTTTTTTTTTGCTCAGTAAGGTTTAGGAATTAAAAAACACATTCAAACTTTCTTACGTATGCTAGGAAGTAAATAATTGTGACAGTTAAGGAAATACAATTTCATGAGAGCCTTTTGACGTTACTCAAAGTCGTGTTTACATTTAGTGTCTGTTGCACTTCTATAGAATATTCTTTAGTGAAGATGTCAGATGATAGGGACCTGAAGTCTGTGGTCTTCTGGGAACTGAATTTTGCCCGTGAAAAATAATTGGTCCACAAGCTACTAGTCCTGGAATAATGGCCCATGATTTCTTATCTTAGTAGAGCATTACACATAAAACTGAAAATGAGATTACAAAGAAGAAAGGCTAGATGAGTTTAATGTATACATTATAATCAGATTATACTAAAAGTTCACTTGTTCCAGAAGTGAAGACTGAGTTAGGCTGGTATTTTTACCAAGGCAATTCAAGATGTGATCTAGCATAAGAAGGGGGTAAGATTGATGGGCACCATGTATACATATTTGGAAATATCACAATGACCCTCCCCCCCTTGAACATTGAACAAAGATGTGACTGAGCATTATTTTATTACTAAATCAACTGAGAGAAATAGTAGTGAAGGGCTTATCTGTAAAAATATATGTAGATTACATTGTAATTTAGAGCTGGAAAGAAGGTAGTAGGTCCCAGTACTATTGATGTAAACAGTAAACATAAAAACTGACCAGAAAAGGTATGATTGTAAATGCATAAAGTTTCTTTTTTTTCTTTGCCAGAATTATTCAATGGAAATTTCTGTGTATTACTATTGTGATCTTTGGAGAATGTTCATATGTTTGATAATTATTTCACAGTTCAGATAATTATTTTTTCTTAATTTGAGGTTATGATTTGTTTTCATATGAAGCAGGAGTTTTATGCTTTTTAGCTCACCAATTCTGAGTTGGTGACCTTTAAAAACTTGTACTTAAGTTTTTTTTTTTTGCCTTAACTCAGACTTGAAATTGCTTAATTATGGTATATTTATTTGAACTCTTAGATGATATTGCATTAAAGTTGAAAGTCCTGAGATAGAGCTCAGGAAGAGTGCTTGCCTCACATGGGTGGAATCCTGGGTTCCGTTGCTAACTCTTCAAAACAAAATAAAACAAAATATATTTAAGTTCTTGTATCCGTTTTTTTTTTTTTTTTGGAGTAGTCAAGGAATTCTGTTGTGGGAGAGACAAGAAGACTTTAACCTAATGACTTTGAAGAGAGTAGTAGCTAAGTAGCAAAATTGTATATTGGGAGTGTAAAACTGAGACTATATTCCAGCCTACTACTGTATTTAAGTAGAATTGTTATTATTTAAGTGTATTGAGTGGAAAAGGGTGTTTGGGAGTTAAAATGGATATTGTAACCTGTGGGATTCCAAACCCAGTGCTCTTTTTTTCATAGCCTCACAAGATTTAATTAGTTGCCTCCTGCTTGTAACTCTTACCTTATATAAATGGGTCAGTTCTGGGGTCTAAGGAAAGACAACTCAGATTTCTTCATGGAGATTTTCTTATGCTCATTTCCATGACTGAATGGAAGCAGAGAGAGGTTAGACCTGAGCCTGTGTTGTTAGGACATCCTCAGTTTTTTTAAATGTTATCATGTGTATTTGTATATTTAGATTATGGAGAATGACATTGATTGGTTTCTAGCTTTTCAAAGAAGGGAATAATTTTTTTCCTTTTTTTCCCCTTCAGTATTGGGGATTCTTAGAGCCTCACACTTGCTAGGCAAATGGGAGCTCCGCTCCCACTCTTTTCCCTTTTAGTTTGCATTTCAGATATGTCTTTTGCCTCAGCCAGCTGTGGATCTCCATCTTCTACCTCTGTCTCCAAAGTAGCTGGGATTATAGGCCTGTTGCCACCCTGCCTATCCCTGGGGAATATTTTTAACTTTGTAGTTAGTATTTGAATTGGGCATAAGTATGTGGATATCAGTAGACCCTAATAAGGAAGAGTTAATGGAATTCAGCAGAACTTGCGTCTCAACATTCTTTTTTATACTTTATTTACTTTCTTTTCATATTGTTATTTCTCAAATAACAACATACCACAGTTGTTTGAGTATAGCAAGTTCATATTCATTCCTTTTTTTTTGGTTATCATTTGGTGTTTTTTTTAGTGTAAATTTTTGGGATTTTCCTGGGAAATTTTTGGGCATATATTCAGTTGATTTATAGTTAGATTTTGGCTACAGTTAATTAGTGTACTTGAAATAATGAGCCCTTTTGTTTTCTAGATAACAATAAAAATAGAAAACACAATTCTTTATAAAAATACCCATGAAAAAAAATCTAGTTTCAGTCTGTGTTGTTGTGATAGATATAGTATAGCCAAGAATATATTCAAGATACTTCTTTGCTCCTCACTCACTTTAGTATGCTTAAATAAAAAGCAAAAACAAACAAACTTATTTTTTACCCAAAGCCTGATTTTCTTAATGTCAGGTTTGACAACTATTTGCTGAACCATTATTTCTTCTTGCCTATTCACAATTCAACAAATACTACATGGCTCTAATTTATTGCAAAAACAGTCTGTAGGTAGGTAGGGTATTCTTATTAACAATGGTCTCATTGACAGGTACGTGCTAGTGTGTTGGGGAATTTGAGAAACATCAACAATGGAATATTTTTTGTTTTTTTGAAACAAGGTCTATGTAGCCCATGCTGGTCTTTAACTCCAACTCATAATTATCCTGCCTCAGCCTCCTTAATGTTGGAATTATAGATGTGTATTACCATACTCAGCTGAAAAATTACTTTTTTTTCTTAAGTGTGGTACTAGTATTTGAACTCAGGGCTTTTCACTTGCCAGGCTGATGCTCTGCTGTTTGAGCTATGCCCCTAAGCCCATTTTGCTTTAGTAAGTTTTTTTTTTTTTTTTGGTCAGTCCTGGGGCTTGAACTCTGGGCCTGGGCACTGTCCCAGCTCAAGGCAAATGCTCTACCACTTGAGCCACAGTGCCACTTCTGGTTTTCTAGT